ACATGTTTTGAAAGCTTCTTTAAAATGTTGTTTTTAAAACATTTGTTAAGTGTTTTTCAGATTTCAGTCCTTATGTGCCAGGGTTCTAGAACATAAAACTTTGGTATGGTGCGGAGGGGCTAGAAGCAGATATGCATGGACAAAAAGACTCACAATGTCAGGACATTGCTGCCTATTCACCTCATCTTCTCCCCATCCACATATTGCTATAAACACTGCTTCTATGCATGCTGTGTTCAAGTGTCCCAATTTTCATCCCCAAAACATAAAGAACATGTGGGGACCTGGCATAGGATAGTGTCCAAGGACCTAATTCTATGTATATATACTCAGTGTTCAGTGTTGTTTATAAAGTCAACATTATAATTTGAGTGTGAAGCAACAGCTTGACACTCAAATTATGACTTAGAAAGCTCTCCATTGAAATGAATCCTTTACAATAAAGCTACCACAAGGAATTAGACAAGCCTCTCTCTAAGGATGAGGATAACACTACTGGCCTACCATACAATGTTGCAAGGATTACAAGATAATGGACAGTATGTGATAAGGAAGCCAATGTCTTGTAAAACCACTGAGATCTTCAAAGCCTTCATTGACCCATGAAACCTGGCAGACCAGTTATGCTCTTTCTAACTTATTTCTAGGACTCCTTGAGAGGAAAAATTGAGAGAATTGTGAGCGCTTGGAGGAAAGGGGGGATCAAAATATAAATACATTAAAAAAACAATATGCAAAACGTTTTGAGCTACTTGAAGAATGCTAAAAATATCTGCACTAGACCATGGAGTATATTTTAATAGATGCAAAAGTGGGACCTATCCATATATTGTTGAACTGCATTGCCCATCAATCCTAGCCAGAACAGTCAGAGTTGGGAGCTGCTGTCCAGCATCACCCGGAGAGCCACATAATGCTCACCTTGAGCTAGGGTCTCTCTTTCTTTTTGGTATAAGAAGATGTGGAAGGAAGGAGAGAGAAATCTAAATACACCATGTTGAACACTTCAGCAAAACAACCTGACAATAAATAAATAAGATAAATGTAAAATACCGGTATATGCCATGGAAGTTGTGGGGCTCCCAATGTCATCGGTAACTCCCATTGGTCCTAGCTAGCAAAGCTAGTGAGAATAGCTGTCAAGAGTTGCAAGTCAACAACATCAAGTCATAGTTCTTAAACAAGAGTGAGCTCTGGGTGCTTTTGAACCAGACCTCCCCCAAACCAAGAAGAATGATTCATTCTGGGAGATGAAATTCCATCCCATCCAGTCGGTCTTCCTGGTTGGAAAACAACCTGCATTATCCATTCTTATTACAGTATCTCTTATCTGACATGCTTCGGACCAGAAATGTCTTGGATTTTGGAATGAGATCTCTTGGAGATGGGGACTAAGTTAAACTATGAAATTCAATGACATTGCATAGATACCTGATAATCTTGTCTGAAGGCCATTTCTATAAACAATATTTCAAATTAATTTTATGTGTAATGTCACATTTGTGTACATCAGAAAGCAAAGGAGTGCTTACCTCTGCAGACAATTTCAGATTTGGGAGCATTTGGTATTTCTAGATAAGGCTCTCTCAACTTGTATCGACATTTCACAAATATTTATAAATGTAAAATATCTACTAGGGAAGTTGTGGGAAATGTAACCCCCTCAGTCCTAGTGAACAAAACCAATGGGAAGAGCTGAAACAACATTAAACCATGGTTTTCAACCAGGAGTGGTTCTGGAAGCACTTGGACTGAAACCCCCACAAGCCTACAGCCCAACACCAAGAGGTTTGGAAGCGCAAGTCCAACATCATTCAATTTGCCTCCCTGATTTGAATGGGGGGGGGGGGGGTACAGTACCAATTCTTATTACAGCTTTGAGCCTCCCTTATTTGAAATTCTCAAAAGCTAAAATGGTTATGCCAGCGACCCCTTTGCTTTCAGATAATGCAATGTATTCTTACAATTTATAAAATCTTAGAGTTGGAAGAGACTCCAAGGGACATCCAACCCAACCCCCTTCTGTCAGACAGCAAGACACAACCAAAGCCCTCCCAACAGAGGGCCATCCAGTCTCTGCTTAAACCCTCCAGAGAAGGAGGCTTCACCAGACTCTGAGGCATCATATTCCATTATTTCATATTAATATTAATAATAATATGGAATCTGTATAAAATCCTATTATGTATTTTGGACATTAATACTGAAATCTGAAATATATACAGAAAGCCTTTACTTTCTGTATATTATTAAGAATAATAACATTCATATCCCCCTTATTAATAATAATATGGAATTCTAGGTTAAATGTAAAAACATAATATGGAATCCGATTTGAAATCCTATTACGTATTTTGGACATCAATACTGAAATCAGAAATATATACAACAAACAACAACAACAATTTTTATTGATTAGCCAGTTAGCCTTATTAAAAACAGACAGTGCAAACACAACATACAACATACGTCTGGTCCTATTAAAATAGAATACAAATATATAGGAATTTATCAACTTAAAACCAATGTAGCTTAGCCGTAGATATATGCATCAGTCTCGGCCTTTTGGCTAAGATCAAGTGTAGTATCTGAAATATATACAGAAAGTATTTATTAAGAACAACATTCACATCCTCCTTTCCTCTCTGAAAGGAGTCTCAAAGCCCCAACTTTCTTCCATGCCCAAAATATGGTGTACAAAATGACAGAAGTGTCGATGAAAAAAGTAATCCACACATTTCAAGTTGAGATCCTGAGATCTCTCATAATAATGGTAATAATCATCATCATTATAATACTGGAGTGTTGTGTGGCTGTGTTCTAGCAACATTGATGATGATGATGATGATTATAGGATTACCCATCTCTCCTGGAAGTTCTCATTAGATAGATGCAAATATTCCAAAATGATAATAATAATACACAATTTTTCTCTCCAAAAAAGGGAGGCTCAGGGCCCTTCCAGACAGCCATATAAACCAGAATATTAAGGCTGAAAATCCCACAAAATCTGCTTTGAACTGAGTTATCTGAGTCCAGACTGCCATATATTCCCATTCAAAGCAGATATTGTGGGTTATCTGTCTTGATATTCTGGGTTATGTGGCTGTGTGGAAGGGCCCTCAAGCAATCTTTTAAAAAAGAAAAGAAAGGGGGGGGGGGGCTCAGGATGAGGAAAGAAGTTTCTGTCAGAAGAGGGAAAAATCTATATGTTGTGATTAGATTTCTTTCTCCCTCACTTTCCTGACCTGAAGGAGACTCCCCCAAAGGCCCTTTCCACAGTCATATAACCCAGAATATCAAGGCAGATAATCCACAAAATCTGCTTTAAACTGGGTTATGTGACTCCCCACTGCCATATCATTCGGTTCAATGTGGATGTATGGGCCCTTCCCATAGCCATATAACCCAGAATATCATTGAAGATAATCCATTGATATTCTGGGTTATATGGCTGTGTGGAAGTGCCCTGAGTGGACAGAGGTGCTCTTTCAGCTCAGTTTGCTAACACTGGAGTATATATATATCAAGGTGAGAGTACCTCTGGGAATGTGCAGAGCCCTTTCAATATACCACAACCCTCATCCTGCCCTTTCTTTTCTTGGATAATGAGGCCTACTATGGGCAGAACAGCCAGAAGGGGTTGGTCCCTTAGAGTTAGTTATTGTTTATTTTACTGACAGAGGTGCTGGTCTCATCTATATAAATAAAAATGTAATGTTCGTTTGTGGGATTAACAGAACTCATAAACCACTGGACGAATTGACACTAAATTTGGACACAAGATACCTAACTACCCAATGTATGTCCTTCACTCAAAAAAACTGATTTTGTCAGTTGTAGTTGCTGGGATTTAAAGTTCACCTACAATCAAAGAGCATTCTGAACTCCACTAACAATAGAATTGAACCAAACTTGGCACACAGTTCTCCCATGACCAACAGAAAATACTGGAAATGTTTGGTGGGCAGTGTCCTTTGGTTTTGGAGTTGTAGTTCACCTACATCCAGAGATCACTGTGGACAAACAATGATGGATCTGGACCAAACTTGGCACATGCACTCAATACGCCCAAATATGAACACAGATAGAGTTTGGGGGAAACAGACCTTGACATTTGGGAGTTGTAATTACTAGGATGTGTAGTTCACCTACAATCAAAGAGCATTCTGAACCCCATGAATGACAGAATCGGAGCAAACTTCCCATACAGAACCCCCATAACCAACAGAACTCCCTTTATCAGGGCAGGAAAACGTAATCAAAGTCCTCCTGACAAAGAGCCATCCAGCCATAGATTGATAGATAGATAGATAGATAGATAGATATGATTCACACACACACACACATATAGTATCATAGATTTGAAAGGGACCCTAAAGAAGGACAATGATAAGTTGCATGTTCCAGGGTGGGCAAACCAGACACTATCTACATCAACACTGACAAAGAAACAGCAAGAAATACTGTTTACCCACAAGCATAAAGAAATTACATATATTAGAAACCAACACTTTCTCGTTACTTTATTTTCCAGATCAACAGACTGGGCCACAGCAACGCGGGGCAGGGGACAGCTAGTTCATCATAAAAAGGCAAAAAATCCCATAAGATCTGCTTTGGCCTAGAATATTAAGAGGGCCCTTCCACACAGCCCTATATCCCAGAATTTCAAGGCAGAAAATCCCACAATATCGGCTTTGAACTGGGTTATCTGAGTTCATACTCAGATAATGTGAGATTTTCTGACTTGAAATTCTGGGATAGAGGGCTGTGTGGTAGGGCCCTGAGTCCACACTGCCATATATCTCAGTTCAAAGCAGATACTGTGGGATTTGATTGAGCCGTTTGGAAGGGGCCTCAGCTTAGAGGGGCCAAACCCGCTTCTCTCAGGGCTTGGCGGGGAAAGAGACCCGCCTAAACTCGCCTCCGAGCGGAGGGTCTTCTCCTCCCCTCCCCCTCCCCCCTCCTTGATGGAAGCCCCGCCCCCTTCGCCTCACCGCTGTCGCCGATAATGAGGAGCTTGAAGAGGTGGTCGTAGTCCCGGGCCATGGCCGGCGGCGTCGATGGGGAGGACCACGGGGGGGAACGGGCGGGAAAGGAGAGCGCGAGACCTCCTCAGGCGGCGGCTCCGAGGCCCAACAGCCGGAACTGACAGCAGGAGGAGGAGGAGGAGGAAGAGCGGCAACAGCGGCGGCGCTCACAACAGCGGCCAGGCTCCCTCACTCCCTCCTGGCACAACAGCGCATGCGCGCTGCTCGAGCCGCTGGAAAAAAATTACAAAAAACACCCTCCAGCGGCCGAGGAGGGATTCACTACGCAGGCGTGGCCCAGCCCTGTCGCCTAACCCCGCCCCCTTTGCCATCTTCTTGTGGAGCTCGCCCTTCCTTCCTCTTCCCTGGCTCAATATGGCGCTGGTTGGGTCACGCCCACTTCTGGTTCCTCCTCCTGCGCAGGCGCAGTGACCTAGGAGGAGGAGGAGGCGGCGGCGAGACAGTGGGCGAGTCTCTGCGGGTCCTTCCGCACAGCTTAGAACAGGGGTCCACAAACTTTTTAAACAGAGGGCTAGGTCACAGTTCCTCAAACTTTTGAAGGGCCAGATTATAATTTGAAAAAAAATGAATGAATTCCTATGCACACTGCACATATATTGTTTGTAGTGCAAAAAACACTTAAAAACAATACAGTAGTTAAAATGAACAATTTTAACAAATATAAACTTAGTATTTCAGTGGGACGTGTGGACCTGCTTTTGGCTGATGTGATAGGATTGTTGTTATTGTGTGCTTTCAAGTCGTTTCAGACTCGGGTTGAGTGTGGGCCGGGTAAATGACCTTGGAGGGCCGTATCCAGCCCCTGGGCCTTAGTTTGAGGACTCCTAGCTTAGAATATCAAGGCCGATAGTCCACAAGATCTGTTTTGGACTGGGTGTTCTAGGGTCCCTTCCACACCTATGAATAAAATCCCACATTATCTGCTTTGAAGTGGGATATATGGCAGTGTGGACTCAGACCTCTTCCACGTCTGAATAAAATTTCACATCTGTTTTGAACTGGGAGAGGAGATTCCATCTGAACATTAGGAAGAACTTCCTGACTGTGAGAGCCGTTCAGCAGTGGAACTCTCTGCCCCGGAGTGTGGTGGAGGCTCCTTCTTTGGAAGCTTTTAAGCAGAGGCTGGATGGCCATTTGTCAGGGGTGATTTGAATGCAATATTCCTGCTTCTTGGCAGGGGGTTGGACTGGATGGCCCATGAGGTCTCTTCCAACTCTTTGATTCTATGATTCTATATGGCAGTGTGGACTCATAACTCAGGGCCCTTCCACACCGCCCTATATCCCAGAATATCAAGGCAGAAAATCCCACATTATCTGCTTTGAACTGGGTTATCGGAGTCCACACACAGATATTGTGGGATTTTCTGCCTTGATATTCTGGGATATAGGGCTGTGTGGAAGGGCTCTCAGATAATCCAGGACCCTTCCAGACTGGCCCTTTATCCCAGGATTTGATCCCAGGTTTTCTGCTTTAAACTAGATTATATGAGTCCGCACTGCCAGATGATCTGGGATAAACTAAAAACCTGTGATCAGATCCTTGGATATAGGGCCTGTCTGGAAGGGGTCCCTTTTCAAAGCAGATCTTGTGGGATTTTGTGCCTTGATATTCTGAGTTGTATGGCTGTGTGGAAGGGTCCTCTGATAACCCAGTTCAAAGCAGATTTGTGGATTTTCTTTTGTCATACTCAGGGTTATATGGCTGTGTGGAAGGGCCCTGGGATAAACACAAAGCCTGGGATCAGATTCTGGGATATAGGGCCTATCTGGAAGGGCCCCCTGAATATCCATGCCGATAAGCCACAATATCTGCTTTGAACTGGGTTATCTGAGGGCCTTTCCACACAGCCATATGACCCAGAAGATCAAGGATTATATGGCAGTGTAGAAAGGGCCTGAAAGTAACTGGAGACTCTTCCACACAGTCCTATATCCCAGAATATCAAGGCAGAAAATCTGTTTTGAACTGGGTTATCTGAGTCCACACTCAAACAATGTGGGATTTTCTGCCTTAACAATCTGGGATATAGGGCTCTGTGGAAGGGCCCTGTAACACTTTCAAATTGTAAGGGCACTTTAAAGAAGTAATTCGTTGTGCTTCCACTCCTCTAATACGTAACATGACTTATAATGGGTTGTTGTAGGTTTTTTCGGGCTATATGGCCATGTTCTGGAGGCATTCTCTCCTGACGTTTCGCCTGCATCTATGGCAAGCATCCTCAGAGGTAGTGACTTTTTGTTCATTCATCTGCTCATCTTCTGGTGTGATATATTATTATTATTATTATTAATAATAGTAATAATGTATTAATAATTAATACAAATACCAAAAATATTAAAATCTTGCACCAAACACAGACTTTTTTGTTCATTCACCTGTTATTCTGGTGTGATTTATTATTGTTATTAATAGTAATAATGTATTAATAATGAATAAAAATACAAAAAAATTAAAATCTTGCACCAAACACACTTTTTTGTTAATTCACCTGCCCTTCTTCTGTTGTGTATAATAATAATTAATTAACACTTTATCGTTATTATGTTTACTTCTACCCTTTTTGTATCCACAAAGGGATACCCTACCTAAGACAGAAATCTGTGTCTACTCCGCCAAAGAATAAATAGACACCCGTCCGATGTGGCATCACAAATAGATTAGCTGGGTTTGTCAAAGAAAGAATTGCTGGGATTAGTGGGGGGATCTGGCTTTTCTCTTTTTGCTGCGCTTGCAGTCACTCTGATCAAAGCACGGTTGCCTCACACTATGTTTTCCTACAGTCCTCCAGAGCAGATGGGATTTCAGCTCCCATGATACTTCTTCCCCTGGGCCACACTAGCTGGGGATGATGGGAGCGGCAGTCCCATGCCTTCAGAGCGCATAGGGACGACTCCTTGATACCGATGCCACAATCATTGTGCATTCCTAATGTGTTTCTCCACCACAGAGGTTGTAGACAGCGACTTCTTTGAGCAGCAGGAGCAAGGGCGAGGCATCATGGGTGTTGCGATCCAGCAGACTGGAAAGACAAGGAGTCAAACTGCAAGGAACCAACCCTGGCTGCCTTCTCTCTGCAGTGCAAAGGACTTCCTTCTTTGACGTCAGAAGGTTGATTTACATGCAATGGCCCAGAAGGCTTTTCGGCAGCACAGTAGCTTGGCAAATTCAGATATTTCTCTGCCAAGCTCTCCACCCTCTTGGGGAATACAAGGGAAAGCATGGGCTGTTAGAAGGTCTCTTTTCTAAATGAAGAGAGGCCATGCTGTTCCTCCCTCTGGTCCGGTTCACTGTAGGGTGCTTCATTGTTGTGCAGCTGGGACTGCCAGGCCCTCGCCATTGCTCACTAGCTTTGCGCAGTGGCAGTATCGTAGCCAATGAGGTTAATCCGAGGCGCGATTATTGCTAATTGAAAACTTTTCCCAATACCCCGCCATGACGACTTGAAATATAGTCGGCACTGGCAATTTTTGACAGTCTCTGCGGAGACTGAATCTCACAGTATAAAAAGACAGAATTCAAACCTTATAAAAGAGAGCTTTCCAAACTACATCTTGCCACAAGCAAAGACTGCCTAGCACAGAGTTATAAGAGGCCCTCAATGGGCCTCTAGTCCAGCCGGTCATGAAGACACAGTCAAAGCCTTCTCAACAGATGGTCATCCAGCCTCAATGAGAAGACAATGGATGGTCATCCAGCCTCAATTCAAAAGCTCCAGAGAAGGAGACACCACTGGAAGAGACCTCCAAAGGGCATCTAGTCCAACCGCCTTCATCCAGGCATGAAGYCACAGTCAAAGCCCCCCCCCCCAACAGACAACCATTCAGCCTCAATTCAAAAGCTCTAGAGAAGGAGGCACCACTGGAAGAGACCTCCAAAGGGCATCTAATCCAACCCCCTTCAGCCAGGCATGAAGACACAGTCAAATCCCTCCCAACGAATGGCCATCCAGCCTCAATTCAAAAGCCTCCAGAGAAGGAGACACCACTGGAAGAGACCCCCAAAGGCCATCTAGTCCAACRGCRTTCAWKKAGGCATGAAGACASAGTCAAAGCCCCCCCAACAGACAGCCATTCAGCCTCAATTCAAAAGCTCCAGAGAAGGAGACACCACTGAAAGAGACCTCCAYAGGGCATCTAGCCCAACCCCCTTCATCCAGGCATGAAGACACAGTCAAATCCCTCCCAACGAATGGCCATCCAGCCTCAATTCAAAAGCCTCCAGAGAAAGAGACACCACTGGAAGAGACCCCCAATGCAGGCATGAAGACACAGTCAAAGCCCCCCCAACAGACAGTCATTCAGCCTCAATTCAAAAGCTCCAGAGAAGGAGACACCACTGGAAGAGACCTCCAACGGGTATCTAGCCCAACCCCCTTCAGCCAGGCATGAAGACACAGTCAAATCCCTCCCAACGAATGGCCATCCAGCCTCAATTCAAAAGCTTCTAGCCAGATTTAATCACTGCAAAAGTTTTTTATCATATTCTTTTTTTATCATATTGCATATATTCATTGTGTGTTATCAATAAAAATTATTTTTTAAAGTGCAGTGCTGCTGTTGTCCAAGTGTAGGTACCGTGTTATAACTTTTACAATTTACACAATTTGTTGATTGATTTGCAGAAATTACCACTACAATGGATACATTTTGAATTATGAAAATAAAATCTTTTGATCATAATGTTTGTGATGAACCCCATGGAGCGGCTATAGAGGAAACAAAACAGGAATCCATGGTAGTACATAAGAAGTGTAAAGGTGGTGGGGGAGGAAGAGGAAATATTAACTTTGTTCATACAATAAAGACTATGAAACATGAGTTGACCCATGGATTTGGAAATGGCAGTTCTTCCACAGTCAAATAACACTGTGAACCCAACTGACAATGGATCGGGACCACACTTGGTATACAGATAAAACATGGCCAACTTTCAAAACTTGTGTCATTGCATTAATAACCAATGATTATGTGAATTGTAGTTTACCCACATTATTTTGCATTTTCTAGTTGTTTCACCCCAATAATTAATACTTTTTCTGTTTATCATTACAAAAGACATAACCCAGGCTTGCCTCCATCAATGTTTAACATCTACACAAATAATCAGCCATTGACAGAAGGGACAGAGAGTTTCATCTATGCTGACGATTGTATCATCACCGCTCAAGCAGGGAGCTTTGAGATGGTTGAACAGATGCT